GATGGGGAGTCGCCTCTCGCCCTTGAACTGGCTTCCTCTTCAGTGAAGTGGAAGGTTTTTTGGCCGCCTGCTCTTTGACTGAAGCAGGCGGTTTTTTGTTGATCAACTCTTGGATCTCTCCCTTGAATCCCCTCATGAAGGTCATGAGTTCGTTCCTTGTGATGGGAGCAGACCCATCAGTCGGCTGTTGCCGAGCAAGCGGTGCGCCTGCTGGCTCGCTTCCTGTTTGAAGATACTCCCGTTCCCTTATTTCAGTATGACGGGTACGGCGGGCCCTTAGGGTCCCGTCTGGAGCTGTATGAGTTTCCACTTCAAATTCACTTTCGGTATCATGGTCCGACTGAACTTGAGGGTCGTCTAGGGGACGCCTCTCTTCTGGGGTCGGTACAGACTTGGATGCCATCTCTGAAGTACTCTCCCCACAGACGGCGCCAAATGTTTCGGGGTTTTCTGATGTCCTGCGGGAGAGTTACAATCCCGAGACTGGAACCGGACGCCTGTACCTGCAAAATAACGGAGACTCCTGAGAGCTCCGCCTCCAACGGTCAAGTTAGTACCTGATTAAGGAGTAATTAATACAGAAATTAAAGTAATAAGGTCTCTCTAGGTGAGAGTATTTAATGTAGGTAATCTGCTTTGCTAGCGAGATCAGCCGGTTATTAGTGTGTTCCGTAATGTATTCGGTCTTTTGATTAATGAGGATTAATCGAGTATTTATAGCCTTGGGAAGCGTGCAACTCTCTAGGTTTAAGGTAAACCTAGGGCCGATCGGGCTTCTAGACTGAAATGGGCCTTGATGGCCGGTTGTCCCATTTGGCATGGGTGGACACGTGGCGTGTCTTAAGTGGTCCGTGGAGGACGCGTGGCGGAACCTGGTTGGTCCACTTGTCAAACGGCGCTTGGTGGATAAAAATCCCCTAATCAATACCCGTCATGGGTGATGGGACGGGGGTGGATTTTACATTGTACCCGCCTCATCCCCACCTCACACCCACATCTATATATTTTTAAAAACAAAATTATATACTTTTATATTATTTAAAAAAAAATATGTAAATTAAAATAGTAGATGTACTGTAATAATTTGTAAAACAGTAATATTATAACTAAAAAAGTGTGTAATATTAACAATTTTATTTTTTATTTTTGTTTGAAATCTATATTAATTATGTTATAGGTAAATTAAAATAGTAGATATACTGTAATAATTTGTAATACACTAATATTATAACTAAAAAAGTGTGTAATATTAACAATTTTTTTTTTTATTTTTTTTTGAAATCTATATTAATTATGTTGGATTGTGAATTGGAAGGTAGGGATTAGGCGGGTCTTAGGTGGGAATTAAGTGGGGATGGATATCGATCCAAGTAGGGGATGGGGCGGGGATGATTTTGGAATTGTACCTGTCGGGGCGGGGATGGGGATGAATTTTAGACCCGTCGCGGGGATGGGGATGGGAAGGCTGACATCCGCCCCGTCCCGCCCCATTGACATCCCTAGTCCCAAAGCATACAAATTAGGATATTTTGTTTTTCACCATCCACAAATGACCCATTTATTGATATTACCACCTAAAAAAATTTTATTTTAAATTACCACCCAATAAAGAAAAAAAATTTAGATTTCACCACCAATTCTGTTAAATCTAAATTTTTAAAAAAATCCTAAGACTTTCGTTCCAAAAACATGGTCTTTAGAGGTTTTGGATGTCATTTTTTCCCTTCGTGTCCAATTTGAGCTTAAAATTTGCAAAAAATTAACGAAAATGGCTCATCGCATGTGTCACGCAAATTGAGGGGTTTTTCGCACGCAAAACGAGACTTTTTAATCCTTTTTTGTAAATTTTGACCTCAAATCGGATCCAAAGAGGAAAAAAGGACCCCCAAAACCTCTAAAGAACATGTTACGAAAACCGAATAAATCTTTTTAAAATATTAGATTTAACGTGTTTTTCAACGAAAAGTTTTAAATGGTGGTGAAATATAAACTTTTATCTTTTTTGGGTGGAAATTTAAAATAAATTTTTTTGGGGGTTGTAATATCAATAAGTGGATTATTTATTGGTGGTAAAATACAAATTTCCTAAAAATTACAGTACTTTTAAAAAATTTGTGCATAGGCAAAGTTGCTACATACACTCTATGTGAAACCACAAACAACATATGTCATTTCTTGTTTAAACATTTTCCCTCTATTTTTTCTTTTTTTTTTTTTCTTTTTTTTGCAAAATCTTTAAGTGAACTATTTATAATCTATAATATATTCTTTTCAGCTTGAAAATTATAATTTTTCCATGGACAATCAACTGAAATATTTTTACATATTTTTTATGTAATTTATAACACGTATGAAGTATTTATTTTGTAAAAAATGAACATAGATTAAGTAATTATTAAAATAATAATGTTATCTAAGATTCCTACAATAATATTATCATTTTTTTTCCTATCTTTCAATTTTACTAATTTTCGTACATAAAGTTCAGTGCATTTTGTGTGCGGCTGTGTGGCCATTTGTAAAAGAACAAAATAATAACTATAACATTGACCGAGTAACCCCTGTAACACTGACCGAGTAATCCCTATACCACTCACGAAATAACCCCTGTAACATAGACTGAGTAACCCCTATAACCCTAACAAGTAATCCCATGATGGGTGACCACACAGTGTACGTGGCCAACCACATATAATTTGTGAATAAAATTTATTTGTATTAATAATAACACGGTCTTAACCTAAATTTTTATGAAATTCTCTGTGGTAACCCTTTATTTTTTATTGGACTTTTTGTGAGAAACTACCTAATAAAACCTAAATTTTGTGAAAAACTACATGATAAAACCTAAATTTTGTGAGAAACTACCTAATAAAAAAAATATTGTAAGAAACTACCTAATAAAAGGTAAAATGTTGTAAGATACTACCTTTGACTGAATTTCCACCGTTGACTTAATTTTACGACATCGATCCACTTTAAAACACCCTAAAACCACCGTGAGGGTTGGTTTTCAAGGTGGTAAGGTTATTTTCGGGGTGGTTGGAGTATATCCTGAGTTGGTGAGGGTAGATTAATGCTTTGGGATGGTGATTTTTGGGGTTAGAGGTGGTGGTTTTGGCTTGAAAGGTAGTTTAGGTGTGGTGGAGGCGATTTCAAGCAAGTTATTGTGTTAGTTTTGGGAATGAAAGCAGTGGTTTTGAGAGTATTTTGAGGTCGGTCAACAGTAGAAATCCGGCATAGGTAGTATTTTACAATATTTTACCTTTTTTAGTAATTTTTTGTACAACATTTTACCTATATTAGGTAGTTTATTACAACATTTTTTTATTAGTTAGTTTCTCACAAAATATAAGTTTTATTAATTAGGTAGTTTTTGACAAAAAGTCTTTTTTTTTATTTTTCTCATTGGTGAATTGAAAAAACCTTATTATCTTTGTAATCATAAAAGAGATAAATAAGAAGAGAGAGAAAAGTGATGTGGACCCCACATATATTTTGTCAAATTGTATTCACGTATAAAATGGAGAAATAAGTCACAGAAACTACACTCAAATTGCACCACTAGAAACAATAAAATATAACTAAATTTTGTATTCAATACACTGAATATCCAGTGGTATTATTTGACCTCCTATTAATACTACTCATAATGCATATATATATAGGACGAATGACATTTTTACTTCTAAGAGATATATTCTTTGCGGTTCACCGTTACGCATTTGAGATGCCTCCTAATGGCTCATCCAATCTACTAGAAGATAATCAAGCCTTTTTGGAGTTAATTAACGGTATGGTTAGTTGTAAGTTAAGGGTTGTCACATACTGTATTAAGGATGACATAAATAAATAAATACATTAAAGGGTTGTCACATACTGTATTAAGGATGACATGATAGCTATTAGTCCTGTTATTTACAAATATTCCCTCCGTCCCATAATATAGTTATTGTTTGTATTTTTTCACGGTATTTAAGAAATAGAAGGAGAAAGTGGATGAAATACATTAATGAAAGCGAAAAGTATAATCATAGACAAAAGTTAGAGAGAGAAAGTGGAAAAAAGTACAAGGCATGTGCAAAATTCAAGGGTAAATTAGGAAATACAATGAATAAAGTTAAAAAATTGAGGGTATAATAGTCTTTACATACTATCCAAAAGTAGAAACAGAAACAACATTTTAAATTTCCAAAATAAGAAAACAAGAACTATATTATGTGACGGAGGGAGTATGAAAATTAGTCAATGAGAAAAGTCAACGATTCGATCCATCCATGGAAAGATATGAGACATAACAGCAGAAATCGGGTTACAATTTTCACTGCTCGGTCATTTTTATTTTTTTGAATTACAATGCACCTGTGTGCTTCATCAAACACGCAAAGAAAATTAATATTGCAAGTTAGGAAAAATTGATATTACGTCTATTCTTTATTATTTATAATAAAGAAATATTATATCTCAGAGAAATAATTTATACCTTTTTATCGTAAATAATAAGAAATGAAGGTAGTAAATCAGACGCATGATTTTGTTTCTCATGTCATTAACGACAGTTTCATAATTATTTATCTTCACAAATACGGAGTAATTTTTTGCCTTTTTTTCTTAGTTTTTGATCTTCTTTTCCCACGAGCAACTGGAGACCTTTTATTTTCCTTCTCTCTTTTTCCTTTTCCCACTTTCTTATTTTTTGTATCTTCAATAGTTCAATCTCCCAAGTTATAATATTTTTGATACAGTGATTCCATGTTTTTTTTTATTATTTATTATCCTTTTTTAAGAAAACAGCTACGAAGTATAATTCAATTTTCGTGATAATTTGATGGGTATCAGATAAAGAAGTATTTTATCTTATAGATATAATTCAGTTACAAAGGTTGTCAATTATAATTACTATTTGTTCACGTTGACTTGGTTACACATACATGCAACGGATTAGTTGGTACTTTGGATGTTAAGTTGCTATTTAATCGTTTTCATAAAAATAAATACTGTATAAAATAGAATTTTAAAAAATAATTTTAAAAAAATCTTGCTATATAAAGTGTCAAGGGTGTGACCGTGTGAGTGTATTCCTGCGTCAGAACGCTCACAATCAATTTCGATTCCATCACAAAACAAAGACCAGGCGTCCACCACACCAAAATGTAAGTCCCTATTATTCCTACCTCTACATATTTTGTTAAAATCCGACCTATCAATTAAAAAAAAACGGAGGTAGCTAATATTAATCGTTACAATGCTTATATCTTTACATAGTCCGTAAAATTTGTGAAGAATACTATTGATCATCTCTTGCCATTGATGTACGGATATATATTAATTTGTGATTGCGCGATTTTGGTGATGGATATGATAACAATAGGGAGGGAGAGAAGTTGAAGGCCATGGATGCAGAGCAATTGAGAGAATATGGTCATCAAATGGTGGATTTTGTAGCTGATTACTACAAGACCATTGAGAACTTTCCCGTTCTTAGCCAAGTTCAGGTTCATTTCTTCCTCTTCGGTCATTTTCACTTACTCGTATTTATTTATTGGGGACATGAATTTTTAAATAACTTTTTTTTTTTTTTTTTTTTTAAGTTTAGGATACACAAATTTATTAGGCCTTCATCTGCTTTTTTTCTTTTTAAGAAAAAAGAGGGGGGGGGGGGGGTAGTGAGTGGAGTTGTTAGACTTTACATAGGAAGTGTTGTTTTACCTTTAAATTAAAATAACCATAAATTATTTAAAAAATATAAATTTAATCGTAAAAAATAGTTTTTTTTTTTTTTTTTTAAAGTGGATAGATTTTATATACAACAATAAAGCAGTAAACTTTCAAGTAACAAAATTTCCTTAATATTTTGTATATTTATTACTACCACAATTAATTTTTAGTTGTAACAAAGAATATTTTATATCTCACGAATAATGTCCCTTTGTTGTAACTAAAAGTCAACAAAGATAGTATTTTTTTTTATTTTTTTTTTATTTTTTTTTTAGGTAGTACTCATTTTGTGTATGGGATGTAAGTACTTGGAAATAAGAGATGGGATTGGGTGGGTGGATAAACATTTACACTTTGATTATCTTCCTCTATTTGGACCGTTGGACTTCGTTTGTTTCCATTGAAAATAATGATAAATAATTTTCATTGGAAAACATAATTGTGAAAAAGATTTTCCTTTGTTTGTTTGATCATGGATAATATAATTCATTCCATATAGTAGATCAAATGTACTTGAATAATATACTTCATGAAAGTAACATTTCTAGAACAATGTTCATTGTTTCCTTGATATTCCTTTCTTTTTTGGGTGTAATAAGTTGTGTGATATGTAAGTTTTGCCACCAAAGGGGAAATGTCACATATTTTGGGATGAAGTTGTTGGAAGGTGGAGCATTAAGATAGATAGAGAATGCCAATTTTGTTTAAAACTTGATCTACTTGACATGTTGCATTTCAAGTGATTGGTGAGTAATAAATGACCTCCTAAATTTAGTTAGATTGATGATGTAAATGCTACACAATCCGTTGAATTGTCTTCTATTATCATGCATATATGACATTTACATTCTCCATTCTTTTAATTGCAACAATTGAACATTTACACTATTAATGGACAATCTTGCATTGTAACCGTCTTTTGTAATAGGTAAATTATTAAATATATAGTCATGTTTATGTAGGATTCGTCTCGATATAAAATTTCAAAACATCAAATTTTCATATTTTTTAAAGAAAAATATATATATTAATGGTAAAAGATGTGCATCAACAAACATAAAACTTCAGATTTACAATTAAAAAAGAATTAATGAAAAATATTTAAAATCATTTTACTTTTATTTTCTTAGTTAATGTAAAATTTGACTGCTTTTTAAAAATAAATACTTTTTCACAAATTCTTATACGTGGTTGGCCACACCGTGTGCCCATCCATTATAGGGGTTACTTTGTTAGTGTAATAGGGTTACTTTGTCATGTTAAAAGAGGTTATTTCGTCAGTGTTATAGGGATACTCTGTCAGTGTTATAGGGTTTAAATTACTTCGTCAATATTACAGGGGTTGTTATAAGGGTTAGGTTGTTATTTTATAAGTGACCACACGGTATGGGCGTATGGCCGGCCACAATGCCGATACTTTTTTTTTTTTTATTTTTTTTTTATGAAATTTAGAAATAAATACTTGTGCAAGATAAACTAAAAATTCCAATTGTGATCTTAAGTGGTAGAGCTCAGCTGGGCAGTGGTCCCATATTTTGTCGTGGGTATGAATTATTGTACGGAGTCTGGTTTGGGAGAGGGGGCACTACAACTTGAGATAGGTGGGCTGCGCTAACACGATAATGGGCTCTAATCAAATGAAGAATTGTTACAATTAATAACAAACAGATATAATACTTTTAAAAGGAAAAAAAAATATGTTTCAATTAATCAGAAATGAAAATAGAGTCATAACTCATGACTTGGAAATTTTATAATTGTTCTAATTAAATTTCACAGCTTTATTCAGTTTAAGTGACCTGGTTACGGCTGCACTGAAACTACTACTCCCTAGTCCCCGCTATTCCACTACTTACCACTATTGGTGATGTAGCATTTTTCAAATTTCTTGCATAGATTCAACTAAGACTTTGTAAAACTTCTATCATACACTCGGGTATATGATAACAAGGCCTCATGTGCATTTTTGTTTGATTTTTTCGTGGTTTTAGCATAACTTCATGATTTTTTACTAGTACGTAATCATATGTATTAACGGTGGAAGTAATGCATTTGAGATCATATCTATAGTACTATCTTATCTTACCTGTGGGTTACAAGATTGTCTATATTTCGTATTACAAGATTTACAACCACAGTAAAATGATACTCCCTAAATTTTTGATCTACTTCATTCAAAGACATCATTACATCAATAAGGTTCCTTTTTTAGGTGTTAGTCATTGGTGTTATTGCATTGATATATAAAACTAGTAGTAATGAATTGATGTATATTAAACCAACAAATTGTAGTGCATTTTTTCTAAGTAATTGAAACGAGAAATTTTAAGCCAACTCGGCCTTGGAATGGTGGTGATATCTGTTAATCTTGGACTTCATTTTAGTCCTCTTATCATGTAGTAGATAATTGTGAGCTCGCAATGATTCAGCAAGACTAATGAGTTCCTGAATATACTGTCCCACGTTTCGAATCAATATATAACTCGTCAACATGGCGTTATCTGTGTAATGCAGCCAGGGTATCTTCGTGAGCTTGTACCGGACTCTCCACCTGTTCATCCGGAATCTTTACAAGATGTTCTCAATGGTTAGGCCATTATTTCAGCTCCATTTTTAGACTGCTGTCCTATGTTTTAAAATCATAATCAACAAATTTTGATCATATATATCCTGCAGATATAAAATCAAAGATTTTTCAAGGGGTAACACATTGGCAAAGCCCTGCCTATTTCGCGTACTTCCCTTCTAACAGCAGTATCGCCGGATTCCTGGGGGAAATGCTTAGTGCTGGTGTCAACATTGTTGGCTTTAGCTGGGTTACCTGTCCTGCAGCAACAGAACTCGAAGTGATTGTTCTAGATTGGCTTGCTAAATTGCTTAAACTACCTGATGCCTTCCTTTCTACAGGTAAGTCTGACTGATGCAGTGCTGTTACATGCTATGTAACTGATTCACGTCTATAAGTGTTGGACTCAGATACGTGTTCAAGTGTCAGACATGGCCATCTAAAGAACGTGACTTCAATATTGTACATGAAATTTGGGTGCATTGAAAACTGATGCTTCCAATGATATTGCAGGAAAAGGCGGTGGTGTCATACAGGGAACTGCCAGTGAAGCAGTTCTGGTTGCACTAGTGGCTGCGCGTGATCGGATGTTAAAAAAAGTAGGAAAAGATTCTTTGGGGAAACTAGTTGTTTATACTGCTGATCAAACTCATGCTTCTGTACAGAAAGGCTGTCAGGTATTTGGTAACTGACTCTTTCTTATCCTCATCTTTCTGTCATTTAGTTTGAAGTCACGTGCTCAGGGTTTCGAATTGTTTCTACATGTGATCAGGGAATATATTACTGCTTCGAGAATGAAAAACAGAGGTAGCAGGTGAAAAGATGAAACTATTAGAATGAGATTAATTATTAGAACTTATGAAACAAATTTCTTTTAGTACTCGTAATAAGAATGCTTTGAATTGCCAGTACATTCTGAATTTTGTCTTTCGGGATCTTAAGGGTCAATGTAATCACGGTATGATAACATAAGATCATGTTTATAGAATAGTTGAATACATAGCTATGTTGATCCTTCACATGAAATACACAAGTCTTGCCTAATGTAACACAAGTACCCAAGTTCGAGTATTGTCAAGAAGAAAGTTGACAATGTAGCTAAATGTAATCACCAGCAAAAAAAAATGTAACTAAGAGTTTTGCGTTGGTAAGACTTGTTTAATTCTCGATTTTGATGTTCTGTCTTTTCTGTATGATATAAGATTGCAGGAATATATCCTGAGAACATCAGAATTTTGAAGACGGATTCATCAAGTGAATATGCTCTATCTCCTGAAGTACTTTCTGAAGCGGTATCACATGATGTTGCTTCTGGTCTCATACCTCTTTTCTTATGTGCTACCGTAAGAATAACAATCCTTATTACTCTGATACCCCTTATCAATCCTGATTTTGTTTGTTGTTTTAGTGAGACGCGGGAATTCCACTTCTAGTTTCAGCTCTTTTCTAAGTGATTGAGTCCAACTATAATCTAGAACTGCTTAAACAACTATAATCTCTATAATATTTGCACAGATGTTAATTTTAAGACCAGTAAAAGTAAAATATTGTAAGCTCAAATATCCAGGGCTGTGTGAAATCTAGGCCAGAATAATACGGAGTACTCCCTAAAATCTATATCAGGGTTATGCATCAAAACCGTAACCAAATGAGTAGCATTCTAAATTTTCACCAGATTAACAAAGAAAAATGTTTAATGTTTGTATCACTTCTGGTGGACTTTGCAACTGATCTGTTTCTGCAAGTAGTCTTTCATGTGTTGTGATGATCATTGGAATACTAGGAGTGAGACCAAAGATAATTTTGAAATCTAACAAGACTAATAAGCATTAAGATTGCTTGCAGATTGGGACAACCTCGTCAACTGCAGTTGATCCATTGCTTGCTCTAGGAAAGATTGCTAAGGTATGTAATCAGCTGAACACTGAAGTGACTAGCTAGTAATTCTCTGAGTTTGGAATGGGTACAGCCGTACAGGAGTTCATGTTAATAATAATTTGCTAGCCTTGTTCGAATCTTAGTATCTTAAGAAGATATTCTTGTTCAAAATGACGACAGAGTAATGGAATTTGGTTTCATATTGATGGTGCCTATGCTGGAAGTGCTTGTATATGTCCTGAATTTCGCCACTATCTTGATGGTGTTGAAGAAGCTGACTCATTTTGCATGAATGCGCATAAATGGCTCCTTACAAATTTTGATTGCTCAGCTCTTTGGGTTAGGGTATGTTACTTCACGTTTTTGCATATTTATCTGCTCAACTCATTAAATTTTTCATTGTATGTATCTTCTCAACTCTTTGGGTCTTACAGTGTTTCATTTTTACAGGACAGAAGCGCTCTGATTGAATCCTTGTCCACGTATCCAGAGTATTTGAGAAACAAAGTAAGTTCAAGTGTTGCAGATTTATTTGCTTGATTTTTTAAATAAGTATATGAATTATATGACAGGCCAGGTTGTCTGCTGAATGATTGTCACTTGACTAGATTTTTCGATGCATGATGTTCACCTTAATTTTGGGGCATTAGTTGCTCAAAATAATACAGGCATTTCATAACAATTCTGTTTACATATGATTTTCTGTTTCTGACAAGCACTCTTTAAATACCAGGCTTCAGAAGCAAATACAGTTGTGGATTACAAAGATTGGCAAATTCCTCTTGGTCGTCGATTCAGGTTAGCCTCAAACATTAATAATGAGGTTTAGCTGTTGTAATTTATTGTATGAGATATGTATATGCCCAGTAATTGAGTGTACTTACACACCCATGATAACTCTCTGATTACTAATTCTGGCTTCTCATCACCAAATTATAATTGCATCATCTTCTACTGCAAGGCAGTAGGCACTTCAATGGATTAATTCACTTAAATCATTACAATAATGTTTCTGCAGATCCTTAAAACTTTGGATGGTATTACGGTTATATGGACAAGAGGGTCTGCAATCATATATTAGAAATCATATAGCATTGGCAAAACGGTTTGAAGAGCTTGTTCGTCAAGACTTGAGATTTGAGGTAATCTTTTACACCAAGTTGCTCGCTTCCCTTTCTTGCTGTGATGCTGGTTGTGGCATTGTAGAGCAGGGGAAGAAGTTATTAAGTTACTTGAAATGAACAAGGTAGGGCATGATGAATTGATGATATTCATATTAATTTATTTGACTGATTGAAATTTCTCCTGCTTTCATAATTTAACCTCAATGTCATGTGTGCTTCTGCATGCTTTTCAGTTAAATTTCATAACTGTTCTGTATTAACTACAGATCCTTCTGTTACATTATTGAATTTGTGCCTTCTTTTTTCTGTTCAAATTTTGATCAGTGAGCATAGTTTAGCATCAAATTTTCAAGTTTGTGCTAAATTATCTTCTGAGCATGTTTACAGCATATGTTTTCCGCCATAACAACTTAAAACTTCGGATGGGCAGGTGATTACTCCTAGGAAGTTTGCATTACTGTGTTTCCGGTTGCTGCATCCTGCCAAAGACGAAAACCAGTGTGATAAGCTCAATCGTGAGCTCTTGGAAGCCGTCAACTCTACTGGAAAGATGTTCATTTCTCACACAGTATGTATATGCCATACTTTATTTTACAAATATCTCGTTAAGATTATTTAGGACTCTTATTTCACCCTCTCTAAGTTGCATAATTAACCAGACGTAATGATAGCATTGGTGAAGCTCCTAATTCAACTACTCTTCAAACATTTAGGTCCTATCAGGCAAGTATGTATTACGTCTGGCTGTGGGAGCTCCACTTACGGAAGAGAGGCATATCGATGTAGCATGGGAGGTCTTGCAAGAAAAGGCCACCGCCTTGTTGAAGCCATATAAAAATGGCATTCAAATTTACTCAAATGGTATGTCATTATTTATTGCTCTGATGTGTTACATTAATATTTCTTTCATATGTTCAAGTCGTCGTAGGACTTGTTTGTCTAGCTGAGCCTTTGAGCTGTTGCTTTTCCTGTACAGGTTCTGTCTAGCGCGAGTTCTATGTTGGACTAGAGGCAACATATGCGCCATGGGAGTTTGTTTTACCGATCCTACTCGAAGCCTTTCAAGTTGTACCTGAATTATCAGATTTGATCGACAATCCCAGGATGATAGACCGCATAGTGTACCCAAATTTTTAAAGATTGATGGTTACCACTATAGCTCTTTAGGATAACTAATTGTATCCCTATTAGACTGATGCTTTTCAAGTTGTATAACTTTTTTTTTTCCTGCAGCAAAAACATCAACCCCAAAATGCTAGCACACACTCAAGCAAGCCCATTTAAAGGGCTCAATCCAATTCATGTAGTATTAAGCACATGTTGAGTTATAAAAAATTAAATAAATAAATTAAATAAATAAATAAAAAATAAAAACATCTTCTTCCTACTAGTACCATGTGGGACAAACAATCAAAAATTATATAACTCCATTGAAAGCTATATACGACCAATAAAGTGTTAAATCACTATTTGCTACCTAATATCCCAAAGGTTTTGGGGTGCAAATCCTATTAAATAAAGGTGTTTGAGGGTAGGGATTTCCTTACCCTCCCCTCTATTCCTATACATGGAGTACTTAGTATAGAACATGACCTTAGTCCACATATTTTCAGTACGTATATAATTAAAGTGCATCTACTACCGTATACTGCTAGAGGTGTCCGTGTATCTGGATCAGATTCGATTAGGTCAAGTTTATTTCAAAGTTGGGTCATACCATATTAAATTATTGTGTCCATAAAAATTAAAATATGAATAGGACTTTTTCGAATCCGAATAGGATTGAAGTGCATCTACTACCCTTCACTCCTTTTTGAAAGAAGCCACATTTGAACTTTTGATAATTCAACACCATACTATACGACAAGCCTCATGAGCTGGCAAACGTCAGAGGTGATTTATTATATCTTATACGAAGTATAATTATATACCATCTCATTCTCATCATAAAAGTTGTTAATTAATGCAACATAAAGGGAGTATGAAGTTTTTGACTCTTTCCAATATGGATCATAGTATTCCTCTTCTCCTAATAACAAGTCACAACTATTGTAAATGTTGTTCATTTGTTCCAACTTTCTTAAAAAGAAGAAGAAAAACAATCATCTGTTTCAACTACTGCATCTCTGAATTAGCTAACAAGAGATCGATAATTCCAACTTAAATAGAAGTCTTGATTTATACAGAGATTGCAATAACTTATACGAAGTATATATTATAATACCTTTTCTATATACGTAGTATACAAGTTTGACTCTAATATATTGTGCATAAGCATACAAAAAATAATGCCATAGCAAATACGTTTTCGAATGCTTATCAACTCCAACACTAAAATATTTATTCAACATAAAGGCCCCTCAATGAAACTCTACATAGTACATACCATGATTCCATGAGCTTGACTAAGAAAGTCTATGTCCATAATTACTATTGTCATGAATGACGATAACTAGTGTATGTTGGTACATTTATACCTCATGTTGGTATAGTAATTGTACCAACATAAAGTCTGAAAATACCAATAATTATGTTGGTATATTTAAACCTTATATTGGTATACTAATTATACCAATGTGAAATCTAAAAATACCAACGGGACTTTATTATTGTCATGAGAATTATTGATTCAGACAATCTCGAGCTTGACCAATACTCCAATAGTATCCAAATTTCTTGACCAAATACTCGTAAACAAAACTTTTTCAACTTAATCCTCAGCCACAAGATTTACAACACACTCTCTTATATATGCATCATATCCTCATTTCACCACCCAAAAAACCTAAAACACACTAAACCCTTAAACCAATCAATCCCACAAAAAATGTTAACAAAAATCCTCCATTTTCACTATCTAATTCTCCTTCTTTTCCTCTACAAAATCCACCATTCAAACTCCCAACCAACCATTAACAAAAAACACACATTTGGATACACTTGCAACAACAACACTAGCCAATACCCATGCCAAACCTATGTATTATACAGACCCAAACCCCCTGATTACCTTGAGCTAGCCTCCATTGCTGACCTCTTCAACGTAAGCCGGCTAACCATCTCCCAACCAAGCAACATAGCCAACCCGTCTTTCGGTCTCAACCCGAACCAACCCCTTTTCATCCCCATCTCATGCGGGTGCAACCCGGTTCGTAACCAAACCCTAAAGTCCATTTCCTTTGCTAACATGACCTACAACATAAAACCAGCTGATACTTTCTATTATGTTTCATCTAATCATTTTGGCAACCTTACTACTTATGAAACTACTATGATTGTTAACCCTACTCTTGATATTTATAACCTTACTATTGGTAGTAATGCTTATTTTCCCATCTTTTGTAAGTGTCCTAACACTACTCAGCTTCGAAATCGTGTAAATTTCTTAGTTACTTATGTTTTTCAACCTAATGATAGTTTGAGTAGTGTTGCATCCTTGTTTGGTGTAACAAGACAGTCTATTGTTGATGTAAATGGGGATGATATAAGCCCTTTCGACACGATTTTCGTTCCGGTTTCGAAACTTGTTAAGCTCAACCAACCTCCTGGAGTTCCTACAAATCAAACAGTTGTGGTTTCTACTACTATTGATCATGATCATAAAGGGGTTGTTGTTGGTTTAAGTGTTGGTTTAGGTGTTTGTGTTTTGTTGCTTGTTTTGGTTTCAGGGTTGTTGGTTTATAGAGAAGTTGACAACAGGAAAAAGTCAAAGGAGAGAGATTTTGAAGGGATAAAACAGGGGAATTTAGGAAAGCAGGGTAGTGAAAGAAGGATTGTGAAGCAATTAGAACAGAATTTGTTGTTGGCTGATGTTTCTGATACTTTGGATAAGTATAAGATTTATGAAATTGATGAATTGAGAAAGGCTACTGATGGATTTGATGAGAAAAATGTGATTCAAGGTTCTGTTTTTAAAGGTTTTATTGATGGAAAGTTTCATGTGATTAAGAAGATGAAGTGGAATGCTTATGAAGAATTGAAGATTTTGCAAAAGGTTAGTAATTTGAACTTATATCCTTATTTAAATTTTTTTTTTTTTTTTGAAAGGTATTTTAATTTATATTTATTGATTTGTCGTACATGTTAATTTACAAGAATAAATATTTATTAGTGGAGAAATTAAATGATGAATAATATGAATTGTTAAAGGAAAGTTTATAAACTCATTCATCTTTGTACTTCGTATTGTTTGTCTAATTTGATGTAAAATGGTTCTTTTATATTATTTGTTAGAATAATTTATATATATTATATATTATTGTGCCTATAACATATAATAGAAAACCTCATAAATTACTTCGTATTCCGATTCAACATATTACTATATATTCATACTTAATGTAGAGTCGAGCTCGTTTTTTTCAAAGCTACATATATATTTAGCATTTTAGCTATTAAGGCCATTGTTAAAATATGCGTAATTTGAGTTAACCATTTTTGAATAGTTACTCTAACACAAAAAAGGATTAAGGATAATTACATTCAACATGTTAGTTAACTTATGAGTGATCACTTAAAAAAATTAATACGAACTTTTAACACTATGTATAATGCATAATAAGCTTGTTGACTAACCGGCTTATGCAAGATATTCTTTTGAAAATAAGATCCCCAATTAGTTATAATACCTTTTGAAAAAAATTAAACTCCTTGAAGAATAATGATGCCAAATTGCCAATGGGAAAAACAACTTGCATGTGTATTGTGGAATAAAAATAGTAATAAAACAAACCCTTGTAATATGAGTGGATGAGAGACTAATTATTAGTAAACATAGTGGTTAGGTGGTATTTGTTGACTAATTATTGACTATAGATTCCATTAAGAAATTGTGAGTTTATTAATATTATTGGTGGCTCTATTAATATAATAGGAGTATTATATTGCTAAGATTGTGGTTATTAATCATTTCTAAGGCAACAACCAGTGGTAAGTGTATGATTCTTTGCAAATGGAAATTGCTAACACAAAATAATTGTTACGATTACTATTTCTTTATGAATGTCATCTTGACTCATACTCAAATAGGTGTTATAGACTGTTAGATCTTGTGTCACGCACAATAATTTTCAATATTAATTATCAATTTAGCATTATAAAAACAGTATATATAAGACAATATCTTCTTTTCTTATGCAGGTGAATCATGGAAACCTTGTTAGGTTGGAAGGGTTTTCCATAGACCCTGAGGATGCTAGTTGCTACCTTGTCTACGAGTACATCGAAAACGGATCTCTTCATTCGTGGCTACACGAAAACAAGGGAAAATTAAACTGGAAAGCTAGACTAAGAATTTCTATAGACATTGCAAATGGTCTTCAATACATCCATGAGCATACTAGACCTCAAGTGGTTCACAAAGACATTAAGAGCAGCAACATTCTTCTTGACGCCAACATGAGAGCCAAGATTGCCAATTTCGGGCTAGCAAGGTCCGGGTGCAACGCTATTACAATGCACATTGTAGGCACCCAAGGATACATTGCACCCGAATACTTGACTGATGGTATAGTCTCTCCAAAGATGGACGTCTTCTCATTTGGAGTAATCTTGCTTGAGTTGCTTTCAGGAAGGGAGGCCATCGACGGTGATGGAAAAGTGCTTTGGGCTAGTGCCCATGAAATTTGGGGCTACACTGAGGATACCGAAAGGGTGAAGAAGTTGATGGAGTGGATAGACAAGTTCCTTCAAAAGGAGTCATGCTCGGTTGATGCCTTGACAAACATGATGAATGTGGCTATTGCTTGTGTTAATAAGGATCCCTCAAAACGGCCGAGTATGGTAGATGTTGTGTATGCCTTGTGCAAGAGTGATGACCTCTTCTATGATATTTCAGGAAATGAGTTTAGTACATCTCCTATTAGAGCAAGATAGAGCAAAAGTTATAAGTTAAAATAATGCGAGTAGATTGTATGATTGTGGCTTATTTCTCCTCTTGATTTCTTATGTTCCTATGTTATTTGTAACTTTGTGTTGTAAGAAGATAACCTGCGTTTGTGAGTTGCGAGAAATGATACATAACTTGAAGCTTTAAGTTGTGAATTAGGCCACATTTTGGTAACATATACTTATACTCCGTGATTTAATTCTCTTAACATGTTAATAGGGGATTTTGTATAGAGAGAATGTGTTGGAGATATTTGAGGCTTTAAAGCTAAGAATGGCCCGAGCTAAGCAAGCTTTCTTGTCGGGCTAGCAAGCATCATGCTTTAGTGAGCTATGCTATATATGAACTGACCAAGGAAAACTCGTTTGGCTTAAATTCATTAATTGGCCTAAATTGTTACATGAGTATATTTATATTTTTGTCTTGTCTAGTATTCCCTCTGTTTTATTTAAATGTCAATACTCCTTGTTACTTCCGTATATATTTTTTTTTTTTTTTTTGTGCGCTACTCCTTATTACTTCCTCTGTATGTTAAAAAATCTGAAAAATTAAAAGTAAGTATAAATCAAGAGGAAAGAAAATATGAAAAATATAAAAATATGATAGAAGGGGACCACTAGTGGGAAGAAAATACCAGTAGTAATGTTGTCAAAAAAATCCATAAAAATTAAAAAGCAATAGAGCAAGTAATAAAATACGACAGTAAAAGGAAAGTGGAGCAAGTAATTAAATACGGAGGATTTTTACACACTGCCGTTTCATATAATAATTAACACAATCAAATTACACACTTGCTAATCCCTTATTTTGGCCCAAAATATTAGGGTTTTTTTTAAGGAAGCCCTAAATATTAGTTAAACATTAATAAAAAGTTTGTAAAAACAAAAAAAAAAGTTAACATTAAAACTTTTATATAAATATCTACTTAAAAACATTTTATTTGATTATTACGGAGCATATATTTGTTTAAATAAATAAAATAAAAAGGAAAAATTATAATCAAATTTAATACCCCATATATATAAATGGTGAAAAAAATTATCAAATATGTGAATTATTATGGAACGAAAGGTATATAAACCAACGGTAGTAAAATTTGTACTCTGTATAATCGTATTCCTTCCTTTTCAAAATAAATGGTCTTAGTTTGATTTTAAACTATTCACATGCACTATTTTTCTCTATTTTATATACGAAGTATTAGATTAGATAGAATCATGTTGGCATTTATTAGAATCGTTTTAATCTATTATTTTAAAATATCAATTTTATAAGTATGAAATAGTGTATAAATTATAGTTGATAATAATCGAAGATAATGTTAATTAATAAACTACATTGAGAAACGTGTCAGATAAAAATGGACATTTATTTTAGTTTGAAACATAGGAGACTAGGAGTGTTTGTTTGGGAATTGGGATGACATCTTGAAATTAGAAGACCAGCTAATACTAACCCAAAAGACACGCAAGACTAAGTAGAAATAGAAGTGTATATAAGGGCAGCCTTAAGGGTGAACAAAAAAATAGTTCACAATGAGTGAACAAGTGAATGGGTGACTTAATGGTGATCTCTATAATTGTTCATAGTGAACGGTTGTGGGATCGATTGCTGCTGCAAGCATTTGGACGAATTTATGGATTGTGGGCCCCACCCATTTTTATTTTTTTTTCAGGAAAAAAAATAGAAAGCAGCGGCTGGGAGCGCGCCACTTGGCCCAGCCGCTGCTTGACACGTGTCACTGTTTTAAATAAATTCGTTGTAATTTTGCAACGGATATATTTTACAAAACACAAATAAAAAATAAAAAAAAAATTACCAACGGCTCTATTTTTTCCCCCTCTATAAATAGACACCCATATTGCTATACTTTCTTCAACTTTGAAAATCCATTTCTTTCTACTATATTTTTCTCTTCAAAAATCCCCTCTATAATTACCAATATTATTATTATTATTATTATTATTATTATTATTATTATTATTATTATTATTATTATCGTTATTATTATCATTTTTATTATTATTATCGTTATTATTATTATTTCCTTTATTATTATTATCGTTATTATTATTATTTTTATTATTATTGTCGTTATTATTATTATTATTAAATTTTTATTTTTTCCAAATATAAATTATAATTATGGATGCTAATACCAACCCCAAAACAAATAGAAAGAAGAAAAAAAAAATTGGGTCAAAATATGATCCTTCAAGCTCGTTTTGCCATTATTAAAAAGCCGTCTTTGGCGTGGGATACCGACATACTCCACAATATCATGCTCGCCTGCATCATAATACATAATATGATCGTTGAAGATGAACGAGAGACGTATCAAAATAACGTTAATACATAATACTTGTCTCGTAGAACAGAGATTGAGGATCAACAGACTCATTTGCAGCTAAAAAACGACTTGGTCGAACATATATGGAATAAATTTGGTAACAACGAAAACTTAGGCAACTAGGTTTACAACAAATGGTTATCCCTAAGGACATCTTACAAAACGATGTGTAGTTGTGTTTTTTTTTTAAATAAAATGTACTAGATTATAGTTGTAGAACTGTAATCACGATTTGTACCTCTTTTTTTTTTGTTAATTAAAATTAGCTGCGTTGTTGTTTAAAAAATATTAATCACAAGAATTAGTTTTTTAAAAAGCTGATAAAAAATGCGATAATTTCTTAATTAGTAATCACGATTAAAATATTAAATACGTCAATTAATTACATTGACATCGGGTTAATAAATTATAATTATGAAACAAAAAAGATTATATTTACAAAAATAAAATAAGGTGGGGTAGGGAGTATTGATGATGAACCATTGTTTAGTGTTCATTGTTAAGAGTGAATATTGTAAATGGTTTGTTGGGTTGATGTGGATGAGAGAGAAATGGTGATAGTGACCCATGAATCATTTATTTGGGTTCACCAATAAAGATGCTCTAAATTCAATGCCCTCTTTCGAACGCCGCCTTTTATAATTCTACACCACACGAAAAGCCAGCCCCATGAGTTGGGCAACAGGTCACAGGTGATCTAATACCCCTCTCATCAATGCAAAATTTGTTGGAAACATCCTACTAACCTTTTTTTTTGTCGGGGTAAATCCTATTGTTTAACTAATTAACTCCATAAAAATAATTTTTTATATAAAAAAAAAAACAAACAAATAAATTTGTAATAAGGAAATTAGAGATATTACAAACATGAATATCCTTATTTTATTTAATGGTAAGGAGAAAAACTTCGTATCAACCTCAATTCTTATGATTTTTTTTATCTAATATATGCGGGTTAAATACTTTGAAAGTAAGGGATTCTCACTTTTAATGTATCTCTAGTAAGGAATGAAACCCTAAAACTAAGACTAGAAAGTACAATCTGTCCTACTAAACCAAGATTAGCGTGGTAATATCCAAATTATGTCTTCAGTAGCTATATAATTTGTTGCTCGATCAAAGAATATTTTTAAGAACAAGACCTGTATGGCTGTATTGAGAGGCAAATCTCATACTTGTAAATTAGTTGTAATTAAGATGAGAAAGAAAAAGAAGAATGGAAAATTTTATTGCACACTTCTCAAGTTCTGTTAACTTTGTGCAATTGACTAAACACTTTCAGTCTTCCACATCCTTATCTGAAAGAGAGTGAAAACACAATTAATTTTTCAACACTAAGGGCCCCAAAGTGACAGACTCCCATGACCAGTACTAATGCAGTTCACATCCAAACTCATAAATATGACAACCAAATTTTGAGTTTTGAAAATTCTTCACAAAAATCACAAAATCCCAAAAAAATGTTACCAAAAACTCCTCATTTGAGTGAATTCTACTGTTTAATTCTGCTACTTTTCCTCAACATAATCCACCATTCAAAAGCTCAACCACCCACAAATGGCTACACTTGCACAATCAACAGCACAACCACCAATTTCCCCTGCCAAACTTATTTATTATACAGAGCTAAACCCCCAGATTTCTTAGACCTTGCTTCAATTGCTGATGTCTTCAATGTCAGCAGACTAACAATCTCAAAACCCAGTAATATTTCAAACCCATCTTCATCTCTTCTCCCAAATCAACCCCTTTTCATCCCTATTTCATGTGGGTGTCACCCTGTTCAAAATCAAACCCTTAAATCCATCTCTTTTGCTAATATGACTTACACAATCAAATCAGGTGACACTTTTTATTATGTTTCTAGTCATATTTATGGTAATCTTACTACTTGGCAATCTACTGTAATTATTAACCCTACTGTTGATGTTTATAATCTTACTATTGGGGTTGATTATAATTTTCCTATTTTTTGTAAGTGTCCTAATAATACCCAGTTGAGGAATAATGTTAATTTCTTGGTTACTTATGTTTTTCAGCCTAATGATAGTTTGAGTAGTATTGCATCTTTGTTTGGAGTAACTAGGCAGTCTATTGTTGATGTAAATGGGAATAATTTTAAGCCTTTGGATACGGTTTTCGTTCCGATTTCGAAACTTGTTAAGCTTAATCAACCCCCTGGTGTTCCTACTAATCAGACTAATAGTGGAAGTAATCAAACAATTGTTGTTAATAGAAACAATGATCATAAAGGGGCTGTTGTTGGTTTAGGTGTTGGATTGGGTGTTAGTGTTTTGTTGCTTGTTTTGGTTTCTGGGTTGTTGGTTTATAGGGAAAATCAGTATAGGAAAAAGTTAAAGGAGAGAGATTTTGAGGTAATTAGTAGGCAGGAGAATGTAGGGAAGGGCAGTGAGAGGAGGATTTTGAAGCAATTAGAACAGAATATGTTGTTAGCTGATGTTTCTGAAACTTTGGATAAGTATAAGATTTACGAGATCGACGAGTTGAGGAAAGCTACTGATGGGTTTGATGAGAGGAAGGTAATACAAGGTTCTGTTTATAAAGGTTGTATTGAAGGGAAATTTTATGCTATTAAGAAGATGAAGTGGAATGCTTATGAAGAATTAAAGATCTTGCAAAAGGTATATCTATTTATTTTCCTTGTTTCAGTCTTACTATTTTCTGTTACTTGTGTGTATTTTGTGATGATTTTTAAGTATGCATTTAGTATGTTGAAATTCTGCTATAAAGTAGTTCTATATACGGAGCATATGCTAATTTGCAGCCTTGTTTACACAAAAATCATTGTCCCCGGAGTTTGTAAATTATCTGTCTAGTGCATTCTTGGATAATTTATTGATGTGTTATATGAATTTGTATAGTATTCTGTCATGTTCTTTTGTTATGTTGGATTTGATATTAATAGGTTTTGTTTAGATGATGTATGTTCGAGAGTTGATAGGTTGATCTTTGGATCAGCAAGAAGCACACAAGTCCGTAAATAATCACTAGAGCCATTGGAATTAGATCTAAGAATGTAGCACCAAAACCGTCCAAGGTATTTCCAAAATTGTGCTGTATGCACCAGGCCAGTAGGCCACACCAAGATTCTGAATACTACTACTCCCATCCATTAATTGTTTCATTCATGTCCGAGCTAACAAGCTTGCTGTATCCCAAATAAACTAAATTGAATTAGCTCTTTGATGTGATTTCAAGTACCTCAAGTATGATTTATTAGGGGGGCAAAAAAGGTAGTAGAAAAGTCTTTGAAGTGTGGTTGAAACAGGGGAAAAAACAAGTGTCTTGTGGAATAAAACCGTGATGTTGATTAGAAACTAAGACATAAGCTTAGCTGAGATTAAATAATATACCAATAATAAAAATAGGGGTTAGGTGTTGATTTTTGACTCATTATTGACTATAATCTATTTGAAATTGGGAGTTTATTATTGGAGGTTTGCTTAAAGAATTGATTATATAGTTGGTTGAATAAATTAACAACTAATGTCAGTGGACAGTGTGTTAGATTGAAATAAATTAAAACGCTGCTGATTTATATTATTGAACTTCTTGGAATCATTAGTTTGTCTTGGAAGCATCACTGTTAACATTTGAGAAAACTTTTCTGCCAAATTGTTGTTTTAATACCATGAACTAAAGTTGATGTGCAATGTACAATGACCTAGTTCAAATAAGTCTGCAAGTTGTAGACTAGCTACTTAATTTCATTGTCTCGTCGAATTGGGTAAACCTTCTTTATAGCTTTTCTTGGGTAGGAGGGGGGAACTGGGGAATCGCTGAAAATCCTTATTTATACTACTAATGTGACAATTGAATTCGAGTGGAAACAGAATGATTTATATCTTTAACTTGATACAATTAACTCCTGTTGGTTGCAGGTGAATCATGGAAATTTGGTCAGATTGGAAGGATTTTCCATAGACCCTGAAGATGCTACTTGCTATCTAGTATATGAATTCATCGAAAATGGGTCTCTTCATTCATGGCTACATGAGAACAAGGGAAAATTAAATTGGAAAACTAGACTAAGAATTTCTACCGATATTGCAAATGGTCTTCAATACATCCATGAGCATACAAGACCTCAAGTGGTTCACAAAGACATTAAGAGCAGCAACATTCTCCTTGATGCCAAAATGAGAGCTAAGATTGCCAATTTCGGCCTAGCAAGATCCGGGTGCAACGCTATTACAATGCACATTGTAGGAACCCAAGGGTATATTGCGCCTGAATACTTGACTGATGGTATAGTCTCTCCAAAAATGGACGTCTTCTCATTTGGAGTAATTTTGCTGGAGTTGCTATCAGGTAGAGAGGCCATCGACGAGGAGGGAAAAGTACTTTGGGCTAGTGCCCATGAAATATGGGACTGCACTGATGAAGCAGAAAAGGTGAAGAAGTTGATGGAGTGGATAGACAAGTTCCTTGTAAAGGAATCTTGTTCTGTTGTGGCCTTAACAAACATAATGAATGTCGCTGTTGCTTGTGTTAATAAGGATCCCTCAAAACGGCCAAGTATGGTAGATGTTGTGTACGCATTGTGCAAGAGCGATGACCTCTTCTACGACATATCAGGAAATGAGTTTTCTACATCTCCTATTACAGCAAGGTAGAACAAAAAAAGTATATTTAGGTTGAGATACTGCCTGTAGTGGTGTAGTCTTTGATCTGTAGATGGTATAAATATGTGATTGCTTGCTTTATAGATGAATTTTTGTTGTCTACCTTAAACTATTTATTGGTATAAAAGAAACAAATGCAAATAATAATGTATTATAGGCGAAGAAAAAGCATGTGTTAGGCTGTTAGCGGGATGATAGATTATATATAGAGAGATTTGTGATAGTTTCGTATTTAGGTGGCCTTTTATGTACTCTGTCCAAATAATGTGTACATTTGTTTTTTCTTGGCCAAAGGGTGTTAATTATAGATGTGTGGAAAAAAAAATGTTCCTAAGGCTTATGAAAGTACTGGAGACCACAATGGGGTATCAATTATCTTGGGATGAATGTAGTAATACTCGATCTTATAGTCTTACATAATGAGAGTTGGGTGCATTCTTATGCTCCCGATTTTCACTCATTTGAACTTAATTGATCTTATGAAACTTTTTTTTAGTTGTAATTTGAACTTAATTTGTCCTTTTTAACTCTTGTCCGACCCTTTTTAAAAATAATTCAAAACTTATTAACCTTTATTAAGAAAAGGTGGACAAAACATAGAAAAATGTTAATGGGTTAGGCCAACTTGCAGCTCTACGTAACCTAACATGAAAAAATATGAACGACACTTGACATCTCACTATGTGTGATAGGCTTAGGCCATACTACGTATATATTTTTGGAAAATACGGTAAGACAATACCTGATAAATCAAAGCACGCATAAATAAAATAATATTGGCATAAACACGCAAGCTGACACACAATGGGACATGGAGATGGGCAATAGGACTGGTGCAGTGTAGACCTGATCAAAGCTAACTCGGCCTAAAAAATACCAGTTTGAGCAGAATTTTGAAACTAACCCAAGCCTTTTTTAGATAATGGATTTTGAGCTACCTGAAAATTCAGTTTTATTTAAAAATTTGGCCCGAAATAACATGTTTGGGCATGGTTTTTTCGGCCCGAAATGGACCAATTTTTTGGGCAAAGTCTGGCCCGTAATCACCTCTAGACTGTTGTCTAAGCCGCCCTTTTGAGAATTTCAACATAGCAAGTAAACAGTGGATTGAGCTGACCAATTCCAAAGCACGCATGTGAGCCTAATACGAGACACCGTCCAAAACCATCTTTAAGAGCAAGACTTAGGCCCTGTTTTTTTGACTTGCTCTAATCTGTTAAAATCTACTCTGCCCTACTTTGCTCTGCTTAAAAATAATAATTTATAATAATAATTAATAATTAATAATTAATATTTAATAAAAATAATAATAATAATTATTAATATTTAACAATAATAACTAATATTTATAGATAATAATAATTTATATTTAATAATAATAATTTATATTTAATAATAATAATTAATATATAATATTAATTGATAATAATAACTAATATTTAATGATAATAATTAATATTATATATTATTTACAATATTTTCTAATGTTATTAAAAGAGTAAAAAAAATCAAATAATAATAATAATAACAAATCAAGAGGATGATAGAAATGAACTCAAAGATCTACCGATGTGTGTTGTGCTATAGGATGGGTGTTCCATTGTTCTCTATCTCGATGTCGTGCTCTGCTTGTTCTCGGGTTTTTACTGGGGATATTTTCGGTGATCACGCGGTATCGTGTGCTGGTATTGTGGATATTAAACATCGACATAATGTTGTCCGGGATACCCTTGTTGATATCTGCTACAGATCTGAGATTTCAGCAAGAAAGGAGGCTGACATAGGGTTGTCTGGAGGGATTGACGGGGCCCTCAGACCTGCTGATGTGTTACTTTATTCCTGGGATCGTGGTCGCGATGTTTGTGTGGACTTAACAGGGTTTTCTCCTTTGACACAGACTGGGCTTTCTGACTTTGTTCCTGGACGGATTGTAGCTGATGCGGCTCATCGGAAGCGGATGAAGTATGAAGCTAGTTGTCGGCTGATGGGGTATGGTTTCATTCCCTTCTCCTTTTCTTCGCTTGGGGAATTGGAGAAGGAGGTTGTCGTGTTGCTGAAGCGGGTTCAGAGGTTCTCGACGACGCAAGACATTGGGGCTCGTGCTGCAGCTTATATCTTCACTAGGGTAGGTTTTGCTATAGTTAGAGGAGTGGGGGCCCAGATTGTATCTCGGCTTCCCACTAATTTGTTGTAGGTTGTATGACTTTGTCTGTTTTTGAGATGATGATAATAATAATATTAATAAAATCTGCTTTACCTGCTCTGCTCTACTGAAATCTGCTCTGCTCTGCCAGAAGCTCAAAAGAACAGGGCCTTAATATTGTATTGAGATTTGAGAGGCAATCATGAAAACAAGAGAGGAACAAGAGAAAGAGATAATACAAGAAGAAAATTCTTCTGCAGAGTTCCATTCAATTTGTGCAATTGACTAACCACTTTCAATGTCTAACACATCCGTATCTCAAGAGTAAAGACTCAATTTCCTCATTAGAAAGGGCCCCATAAATAACAAACTCCCATGACTAGTACTAATGCAACTAACATTCAAACTTATAATAGGAATAGCAGCCAAGCAGGATAACCAATTTTTGACAATTCTACTATTGAGAATTCACTAAACTTAATACAGAGTATACCTTCATTCCTTCAATTCACATTCACCAATTCACCTATAAATAACACATTAAAAAAAAAATACAAATAATCCCAAAAAAATGTTGCCAAAAATCTCTCATTTGAGTAAAATCTACTTTCTAATTCTGCTACTTTTCCTCAATATAATCCACCATTCAAAATCTGAACCAACTACAAATGGCTACACTTGCACAATCAACAGCACAACCACCAATTTCCCCTGCCAAACTTATGTATTATACAGAGCTAAACCCCCAGATTTCTTAGACCTTGCTTCAATTGGTGACATCTTCAATGTCAGCAGACTAACAATCTCAAAACCCAGTAATATTTCAAACCCATCTTTATCTCTTCTCCCAAATCAACCCCTTTTCATCCCCATTTCTTGTGGGTGTCACCCTGTTCAAAATCAAACCCTTAAATCAATCTCTTTTGTTAATATGACCTATACTTTCAAACCACGTGACAATTTTTATTATGTTTCCACTAAAATTTATGGTTATCTTACCACTTCCCAATCTACTGAAATTGTTAACCCAAATCTTGATGTTCATAATCTTCCAGTTGGGGGTGAATATATTTTTCCTATCTTTTGTAAGTGTCCTAATAATACCCAGTTGAGAAATAATGTTAGTTTCTTGGTTTCTTATGTTTTTCAGCCTGATGATAATTTGAGTAGTATTGCATCTTTGTTTGGAGTAACTAGGCAGTCTATTGTTGATGTAAATGGGGATAATCCTAAAATTTTTGATACGGTTTTCGTTCCGGTTTCGAAACTTGTTAAGCTTAATCAACCGATTCAACCTCCTGGTGCTCCTAATAATCAGACTAATAGTGGGAGTAATCAGACTATTGTGGTGAATAGTAAGAGTGATCATAAAGGGGCTGCTGTTGGTTTAGGTGTTGGAATGGGTGTTAGTATTTTGTTGCTTGTATTGGTTTCTGGGGTGTCAATTTATAGGGAAGTTGACTACAGGAAAAAGTCAAAGGAGAGAGATTTTGAGGTGATTAATAGGCAGGAAAATGTAGGGAATGAGAAGATGATTTTGAAGCAATTAGAACAGAATTTGCTGTTGGCTGATGTTTCTGATACTTTGGATAAGTATAAAATTTATGAAATTGATGAATTGAGAAAAGCTACTGATGGGTTTGATGAAAAGAGTGTGATTTATGGTTCTGTTTATAAAGGTTGTATTGATGGAAAATTTTACGCTATAAAAAAAATGGAATGGAATGCTTATGAAGAATTAAAGATCCTACAGAAGGTATATCTCATTTTTGTACTGTCTAATTTTTTTTTTAAAAGTATTTTTTTTTTAATTGTAAAATCAATTCATGAATAAAAAATCATACAACATTTATAAAAGGTTTTCGAATTTAACAAATAATACAAGTACACAGTGCATTATATTGAATCAAATAAAGTTCTTTTATGCGAAGTATAACTATAAAATCCTCCTAGAGTAAAAAAAAAAAAAAAAAAAAAAAAAAATCTTGTCTTTCAAGGGAGAAAACTCGAAAAGTCATTTGCCTTATAAGGAAGAGTTTTTATAAGATATTATCCGATAAAAGTCCCTCCAAAATTCAATAATGAAGTTCAGGGTGTTACAGATCGGAGAGCTGAGAGGGGAAGAGCTAAATTTCCATGATTAGGAGAATCGTTGCCCCCGGGGCATGTAAATTATACTTCTAACACATTCTTGGGTGATTACTGATATATATATGTGATATTAGATTGTTATATGATCAGAGTGCAAGTAGTAATACGTCATGAATTAATTAGCTAAAGATACAATTTAATTTCCTCATGTCATTTGCAGGTGAATCATGGAAACTTGGTCAGATTGGAAGGATTTTCCATAGACCCTGAAGATGCTACTTGCTACCTAGTCTATGAGTTCATCGAAAATGGATCTCTTCATTTTTGGCTACACAAAAACAAGAGAAAATTAAACTGGAAAGCTAGACTAAAAATTTCAATTGATATTGCTAATGGTCTTCAATACTTTCATGAGCATACTAGACCACAAGTGGTTCATAAAGACATTAAGAGCAGCAATATTCTCCTAGACGCCAACATGAGAGCCAAGATTGCCAATTTCGGGTTAGCAAGGTCTGGGTGTAACGCTATTACAATGCACATTGTAGGCACCCAAGGATATATTGCACCTGAATACTTAACTGATGGTATAGCCTCTCCGAAGATGGACGTCTTCTCATTTGGAGTAGTCTTGCTCGAGTTGCTATCAGGTAGGGAGGCCATCGACGTGGAGGGAAAAGTACTTTGGGCTAGTGCCCATGAAACTTGGGACTACATTGATGAGACCGAAAAGGTGAAGAAGTTGATGGAGTGGATAGACAAGTTCCTTCAAACGGAATCTTGTTCAGTTGAAGCCTTGACAAATATGATGGATGTGGCTGTTGCTTGTGTTAATAAGGATCATTCAAAGCGGCCAAGTATGGTAGATGTTGTGTACGTGTTGTGCAAGAGTGATGACCCCTTTTATGATATGTCGGGAACTGAGTTTTCTACATCTTCCATTACATCAAGATAGATCAGATAAATATTTAGGTTGAGATGCATGTATGTAGTCCCTGTAGATGGTTGTTGAACAAATGAACTGTTGAAGTATAAAATTTCCAAACAACACATGTAAGTGTCCCACATTGAGAAAAGAAGAGAGAATTAAACACTTTATTAAGCTAAAGGGTTGCTCCACCTATTATCATATGGTTTTGAGATGAAACTTCCTTTGTTCTTGTGGAATGGACTCTCTCTTGACAACAAGTGCGGCTTAGGCTTAATAGTTTGTAATATAATTTTTATTCAACTAAGCATATGTCAAAAAAAAAAAAAAAAAAAAAAAGTCATGGGTAGGGATGGCAACGGGTCGGACTCGGAGCGGATTATGCTAAATTGGGCTATTTGGGCCTTAGCAACACACACCCACTGCACCACGGTCCATCAGAGTCGGAGTCGGATTCGGATTATTTTCTCGGATTTTTTGCAGGATCCAACTCCGAGTCTAGTCGAATTATTTTAATGGAATTGGACTCGGATTACTTTTTTTCTCGGATTCAGAACAGATATTTTTCCTCAAATTGGGGCAAAATAGAGTCGGATCCGGACTGGATTGTCATCCCTAGTCATGGGTCTTCGTGCTGAATTTACACAATTACTTTGCACCTATGCGTGATGAGTATTTTGCTTAGACATTGTTTCGTTAATTGCCAATAATTGCATGGGCCTGTTGAATATATTTTGGGCTCAAAATTTACAGGTGCCAGAACTTGAAGTCATAAGTGTACGTGTGGGCTTTTCTTCCATGACAAACAACCCCCCTACTTGTTTAAGTCTCTTCCGTTGCTGTTGCCCCAATTCTTAGTGATAAGATTTTCAACTTGAGTTTTAGTGTCTAATAATTGGGTTAGTGTTAAGATTTTTGGTCCGAATTCACACAAATGGATTTACCCACTTACTTTACTCATGTCAAGAGTTTTAGAAAATATAATGGTAAGCATTGCATATGAGTTAGTTAGCAAACTTAGTATGCGCTAAATTAATTCACGTTGGCTATGCCCTCTGACTTGAATTGATACAAAGATATGACGAATTGGATAGACAATTAACTAATTAATTAAACATTTAGGATTATTAGTGTCAAGATTTCGACGAGTTCAATTAAGCTGGTTTATATTGACATACATTTTTTTTTATCCCATTTTTTATAAGTTTTATAATGTACTTCGTATATCCCTAATCCTACCTTTTTAAAAGTATGACTAAACACTTATAAATAGTGCTAAGACAATTATGCTCCTTAAAATATTTATTTACATATTCACCCTTATATATTATATTTGTTACATCTATGAACAGTGTTGAGACAACTATGTCTCTTAAAATATTTATTTATATGTTTACCCTAAAATATATTTGTTCTATTTTTCTACATATTGTTGAGACAATTATGCTCCTTAATATATCTATTTACTTATTTGCCCTCATTTAAGCTAATTGCCTCGTTTTTTGAACTCTTAAGAAAAGTGTGTGAACTGCGAACAACTATACGCTAAAAATATTTGTTTACGGCGTACCTATTTTGCCTAATTAATGTTGGCACCAACTAAAATTGTGACGTAAGGCCAAATAAAAAAAAAGCACCCCGAATATGGCTAGTTAGAGCGCGCATCGTGCACATTAGCCGCCCTAATCTTCTTTTTAAAAGTATAACTAAACTCTTATGAATAGTATTGAGACGATTATACCCCTAAAAATGTTTATTTACATATTTACCCAACATCTTTTTACAAGTATGACTTAACTTTTATGAGTAGTGTTGAGAATGATTATACCCCTAAAAAATGTTTATTTACATATTTACTCAATATGTAAAAATACGAACGACACAACACTACATATCACTATGTGTGAAAGCCTGATAGTCTTAGGTCATAATACGTATATATATACTACATCCGTTACATATTAGTTGCAACTTTCAGTCCGGTACGGATTTTAAGACAAAATTTCATAATTGCTAATTAATGAATTGAAGAATAGGTATTAAGGGTAGGAGAGAGAAAGTGAATGTAATTAATATATAAAACCACCACCACCATCCACAACTAGGGGTGAGCAAAAAATCAGGGTATCCTAAATCGAAATCAAAACCTGTTAGGAACCGCAGGTTTTGGTTCCGGAACCTGTAGAAGAGGTTCCAGCTCGGGTTCTCAATTTTTTGGAACCAGAACCTGTAGGGTACCCTGAAACCTGTTAAAAGTATCACTTAATTTTAATTTAGGATTTTTTAACATGAGTGGACAAACCTTTGCCCGATTCTCCAAGAATGGACTGACCTTTAGATCTTCCCATTTTGGACAAATTTTGTCATTTTTTCGCCCATAATGGACTGGATAGGTAACCTTACCTGTTGTAACCGGTTTGCTCGCTGACGTGGCACTTACCGTTGGCTTTTCTCTGATTCTTCTACAAAAATTCTCGATTTTTTTAATTTGTTTGTTTATTGCTTCAACCAGAAATCCTTTAAAGTTCGTTCTCCATAGTTTGGCAGCAATGGAGAGGGCAAAGCATCAAATTGAAACATCAGGGTCTTCTTCTTCATCAAGGGGAGGGGGTAATATGGGAGAATTAAATGTAATTGTGGAAGAGATGCGGTTGTTCAATCGGTGAATAATGGTCCAAATGTGGGGTTGAAGTTCCATGGCTGTCCATTATGGCCTGTAAGAATTTAATTGGTTCAATAATCATCTCAATTATTCAATGTAATTAGGGTTCATATAACTAATTGTGGTTTGATATACAGGATACAGATTGTGGTTTTTTTAAGTGGATAGGTGTGAGAGATGAGGTTGATGATTTACGGCTTCAATTGTTTGAAAAAGAAACCACCATTGCTGAGTTAGAGATGCACAAGCAGATGCTGGAAGATAAGGTGAAGAGGGTGCAACTGAAAAAAGAGAACTTGGAAGAAGATGTTCAAGAACTTAAGGGTAAAGTTAGTCAAATGCGAATTGAATTGATGAAGAGTGCAAGGAATGAGAGAAATTTTTTCTGTGGCTTTGGTTTTGTCATGGGTTTTGTTTGGGATAGTGATTATGTCCTTCAAGTAGTAGGTTGTTGTTGGTTGTTTTTTGGTTGTGTTGTAGTTGTAATGTGTAGCTGTTAAGACTGATGATTGAATAAAAAAGGGTTCCCTTTCTTTTGCTAATTGTTAGCTATTGTTTTGAGTAATTGTTGACAGGGGAAAAAAACAGCAAATTGTTCATCAAAATAGACTAATTGTTCATTAATTAAAAGCAACAAACAGATTGTTCACTAATTAAAAGTAACCCAAAAAAAAAACCAAATTGTTCACCAAGAAAGATAAATTGTTCACTAATTAAAAAACCTAATTTCAGACACAAAATTAACAGCAACAATCCAATTAACAACAACAATCCAATTAACATCAACAATCCAATTAACAACTAAACCTAAGTACAAAACACAATTCACAGTGCGCAATTTCAGTCCAGAAAATCCATAAAAATTGACAATTTCGCACACAATTTTGCAATTAACAACGAAAATAATCAGCTTTAGGGTTCTACAAAGAACATACCACTTACGGATGAGTTGAGGATCCCAATGGCTTTCCCAGTAGCTTTAATTTAACTTCAATGCTTGCACCAAACCAGTACAATCGTAGAACCAATTTAGGAAAAACAAATTTGGGGACCAGCAATTTGCAGAGAAGATTGTTGTACAGAGTGAAATTAAAGTGAAAGAGGAATAGAGCGTCATTTGGGTAATAGGGGAGGAGAAGCACGCTTTTCCCAGCATTAATGGCTGATTCAACATGGTTGGTTGAAGAGTAATGGCACTTCAATTGTTGTTCAAGGGAAACTAACTTCCCATAGGTCAACATGGCTAATGTTGACTTCATTTACCGGTTGCAGGTAAACTCAGTCCATTATGGGCGAAAAAATGACAACTTCTGTTCAAAATGGGAAGATTTAAAGGTCAATCCATTCTTGGAGAACCGGGCAAAGGTTTGTCCACTCATGTTAAAAAATCCTTTAATTTATTCATTAATTCTAACTTATTTTTTAAATAATAAATATCAAAATTGTTTCGGGGTTTTTTGATGTGTCCTGCGGGAGAGTTACAATTCCAAGAATGCCCTTCGACGCCTGTGCCTGCAAAATCACGAAGACTCCCGGGGGTAGGAGTTCCGCCTCCGACGATCAAGTTAGTAAAGATACGGGAGGTAGAATGCACGTAATGTAGAAGTTACTTCTCGCGTAATGGGAGAATTCTGCAATTAATATTGCTCGGGGTAAGTGTTTTTCTTTTTAAGGAGTATTCAATGTGAACAACCAATGTTCCCGCCCCCATTAATGAGGGTCCTTCCACTATTTATAGTGGGGAAGGGATGGTTTCCCTTTTAGGGTTTAGAGGACACGTGTCAGCAGAGGATTGGAGCACTGCTGACCAACGGCTGGATGCCACGTGTCACTAGGCCATTGGGCCACGTGTTTAGGGTATTTTTACCCCAAACATTTGCCCCTCACTGGTGCTGACGTGGCAGGGTGCCACGTGGCGCCGGTGAAAGGTTTTTTTTTTTTTTTTTTTTTTAGATTCCTTTTGAAGGATAGAAAAGCAGAAGGCGAAGGGTTCACGACTTTTCACCTTCTGGGACAAATTCTATAAATAGGAGAAGATGTCCCCCGAGCTCTCATTTACAAACTTTGCCAAATTTCTGAAGATTTGAGAGCAGCCGACAATTTGAGAGTTGAGAGCATTCGGAGTTGAGATTCGTTGAGAGCAACCGGTCTGCAGACCGTCTGGGTCGTTGCAAGCTAGCCAAAGGTTTTCGAGAGGGTAAACAGAGAAACCCAGCCGGATTTTGAACCGCCTGCGTCTTCGCAAGCATCCCAGAGAATTTCCAGATTTTCTTCTAGGTACCGTCTCTATTCTTTCTAGCTTTTTCATGTATTTCCGTTTGAGTCTTTTACTCGCATTTTTGTTCATTGGTCCCATAAGTAGATGGACCCCTTATACCCATACCCGGAACCTAGCTGTGAACTCAGCCGGTTTATTAGTACGGCTGAGTCTAGAACTGGGTCTGCCGCCTCTGTTTTTTGGGACACCCCTTTTTCAACACCCATATCGACCGACTCTGTGTCTGTGCAGGACACAATGGCCAGAATCCGGTCTACTGCCAGAGATCCCAACTACAGAAGTGGGAGCTCAGATGAGTAGCCGCCTGAGGTCCCAGCTTCAGGCGGTGAAGTAGAGCATGGAGAGGTAGAGCAGAGAGGCTCACCCGGGGGTGCTCCCAGCACCCCGGGTGATAGCATTTTAAACGAAGAGAGTGTTCCCCTCCAGGAGACCAGAGAGCAGGTAGGCTCTGATGAGGAGGTCTCCAACACCCCAGCCGGCTCTGATGCCGGTCACGTTCAAAGTAGCAGTAGCAGCTACTT